TTTTAAGAGTTGTACATACATATCAAAGATTGATATTTAATTAATCTGGAATATTCTTATCTCATTGTTTTTGTTCATTGTGTACCATCAAGTTGGAAACAACTCATAGCTGACCCTTCCACCGATTTTAAGATGCAGTTAATCCCACGGGTGTAGACTGACCATCTTTCTCCCGTGGAGCAGGTTGTGAACTTGAGCTGTGTGCCTTCAAGATTGCAGCACAGCTTCTTTCCAGTAGGACACCAACACTGTGATATTGTTATTGTTGTTGTTATGTGCCACTGAGTCACTTGCAACTCATAGCAACCCCATGTACAACAGCCCTAAACCCTGCTCTATCCTGTGCCAATTTTATTGTCTCTGACACACCTACCCCCATTGCCCCAGTGACTGAATAAATCCACCTAATATAGGGTCTTCCTCTCCTGCATTGTCCCTCTACCCTCCCAAGCATGATGTCCCTCTCCAAAGACTGCTCTATCCTTGCAACATGTCCAAAGTATGTCAGATGAAGCTTCAGAATCCTTGCCTTCAAGGAGCAGCCTGGTATTACCTTCTCCAGAGCAAACCTGTTTGTTCTCTTAGCAGTCCATGGTGTATTCAACACTCTTCTTCAGCACAACAGCTCAAAGGCATCAATTCTCTTTCTATAATTCTTAGCCATTGTCCAGCTCTCTGATGCACAGCAAGCAATTGAGAAGACTATGGCCTGGATCAGACACACCTTAGTCTCCAGACTGGCATCATTGCTCTTCAGTATTCTGGAGAGAACCCTGACAGCCAAGTTTCCCAATGCAATTTGTCACTTGATTTCCTGGCTGCTGGTACCAAGACTGTTGATTATGGAACCAAGCAAACTAACGCTTTTAACAATCTCAATCTCTTCACCATCCATAATGATGCTGTCAATTGGCCCAGCGGTAAGAATTTTTGTTTTCTTGATGTTGAGCTTCAATCCATATTGAAGGCTGCAGTCCCTTTTTAAAAAACTTATTATTAATTTCAATGAAAATTCACAGAGAATGTGGATTTCCATTCATTCATTGTTGCACTTTTCTCCTCTCCCAACCCTTCCCCCTAGTACACTACCCTCTTGGAAAAGTAAAAGAAAAATTCTTCCATTGTTTTACAATCCCTCCCCCCAGTTCCACTCCACTATGGAGCCTTAGCTCTGGACTCCTGTCATGACAAAAATACTTAATCACATATCCCTTTTAAAGAGTGTTCTCCCGCATATGTTTCAATGCAGTATACATTATTGAACCCATCTTTCTTAGTGTTCCCCCGACCCTGAGGTCAGTCCTGTTTTACAACAGTGGCACTATGCAGTATTTATCCTTTTGTGACTGATATATTTCATTCAGCATAATGTCCTCCAGGGCCACCCATTTTGAATAATATTGCATGAGTTCCTTGTTTTTCAATGCAGCATAGTATTCCATTGTGTGAATATACCACAGCTTCTCTATCCATTCATTTGTTGATGGGCACTTAGATTGTTTCCAACTCCTTGCTATTGTGAACAAAGCCACGATAAACCTAAGTGTGCATATATCTGCTTGGGTGGCAGTTATGGTCTCTTTTGGGTATATTCCCAGTAGTGGAATTGCTGGGTCAAGTGGTATCTCTATTTGAAACTTTTTGAGAAAGCACCATACCTCCTTCTAAGAATCAAATCCCTATGCACATCCAAAACTTCACCAACAGGATAAAAAGGGAAGCCACGGACTAGGAAAAAGGTATTTGGTAATGATACATCAGATAAAGGACTTATATCCAGAATTTATAAAATACTTAAGCAACACAACAAGATAAAGGTAAATAATCCAATAGAAAAATGGGCACAGGATATGAACTGGCACTTCACAGAAGATGACATTCTGACGGCTAACAAGCACATGAAGAAATGTTCAAAATCCCTACCTCTAAGAGAGATGCAAAGGGAAACTACTATGACATACCATATCACCCTGTCAGAATAGCAAAATTTAACAGAACAGCAAGCAACAAATGCTGGCGAGGTTGTGGAGAAACTGGAACCCTTATTCACTGTTGGTGGAAGTGTAAAATGGTGCAACCACTGTGGAAGGCATCCTTGACCTCCTGCAGCAAGGCCTCCTCAGTTTCAGCAAGCAGGGTTGTGTCATCTGCATAATACAGGCTGTTGATGAATCTTCTACCAATCCTGATGCCACATTTCTGCCTCCTGGATCTGTTATGAGCAGTTTAGGTATAAGAAAAATATATTCATTTTGCTGTAACATATATTATGAAATATCCATTTGCTATTAATTTGCTGTAAAATATATTATGAAATATGTTTGCTGTGGAAAAATATTATGATGAATTTGATGCTTAAGTTTGGAAATAAGAATATTTGTGAAAAAATATACTAACAGTTTAACATGCCTAAATAGGCCTTTGAGGCCTATATCCCCACTGACCACAGTAGGTGCAAACCCTTGATAAGGGAATGTAACTGACAACTTGCTTGTAAAGCTACTGTCCTCAGCATGTGTGAATCCTGATAAGAAAATGTAACTTGTTACTGCTCATGTTGCTAAATTTAAGAATAAGAAATATATTGGGAATCTGCTATGTTATATGTTAGAAATAAGAAATATGTTGGAGATCTGCTATGTTAGAAATAAGAATAAGAAATATACTGGGAATCTTCTATGGTATATGTTAGAAATAATAATAAGAATTATGTTAGGAATCTGCTATGTTATGGTTAGAAATTATGTTAAGAACATTGTGGTAATATACTGAAAAGCCGATATGCCCAAACATGCCCAAATAGGCCTCTAATAGCTCTAGGGCCCCACTGACCACAACAGAGGTAGACCATTGATAAGGAGCTATGACTGGTTACTGCTCATGTTGCCAAATAACACAATTAGTATTGAACATGATTGGTCAAACCCATATTGTTATTCAACATGTCCCAGCATGCCCCAATTGCCTCACCATAATGTATAGCAGAGAAGCCAGAGTAGATAAACTCTGGCTGTGCTCAGCAAATCTCTCTCTGCGTTTCACAATTAGCTGAACACTAAAGACTTAAAGGTTCTTTTCAGAGCCAAGAACTCTGGCCTACACTGATGGACATTAGCTACTGAGACAGTGGAGGATTCTGCCCACACTGGCGGATATTGACTACATCGAACTACTGAACTAGCTGAGAACCCCTTGGCTACATCAAACTCCTGAACTAGCTCAGAACCCCCCGATTGTACTAATGACCATGAGAGGCAAAAGAAGGAGACCAGTTGGGTTCCCGGGGTGAGTGAGTGTTCCCCACTGTTGATGAGTCAATATGTTGTGATGAATTTTTGAATTGCAATGTAGATAAATTACAAGTAACTATTTAATGCTTGCCATGAATTGATGAATCAATATGTTGTGGTGAATTTATTAATTGCAATGTAGATAAATGGCAATTATTGCTATGAATTAATTAATGAATCAATAAATTGTAATTGGCTTTCATAATATGTCTGTTGTTATTGTTGATTGGCATCGAGATGAGATCAACTCATAGCAACTCTATGAATAAAAGACCTAATGCCTTTCCTCAGCTATCTTTTTTTTCTCCAAGTTCATAGTTTCCAGAGGCATGTGGTTTAGGAAGTGGATGCCGCTCCTGCTTCCCAACCTGTTTTTCAACTGGGAGCTCTACCAAACACTGTCCACAATGGGAAACCATTCTGGTATTTGATATCCCCATGGCACAAGGTTCAGCATCATAGCAAACCCAGGTTACCTCATATAGCACATTTGACAAAGAGTGATGTGCAAAGTGTAAGAATGTTACTCTAAGATAAAACATAACTAGTTATGTTGGTAGTTGAAACCACCACTGAGATATAATTTAACTAGTCTCATTTAGCACTGGTTAAGTGATGTCGAGTCGAATATGACTCACAGTAAGCTTTGCACAAAAGACCTGAATTTTTTTCTATGATTATCATCTTTTCTGTGCATATGTCTATGAGTAATTAATTAAGGCTCAAGGACCATGACATGGATCTCAACAACCTGTGGCTGACTGAGAAAAATGGGAATCCCGGAACATTTGATTGTGTTTATGTAAAACTTACACTTGAAGCAGGAAGCAGTCATCAGAACAGAGCAAGGAGACACTGTTGTTGTTATGTGCCATCGAGTCGCTTGTGACTCATAGCGACCCTATGTACAACAGCCCTAAACCCTGCTCTATCTTGTGCCAATCACACTTCCTCTGACATATCCATCCTGATTACCCCAGTCACTGAATCAATCCACCTCATAGAGGGTCTTCCCCTCTTGTGCCGTCTCTCCACCCTCCCAAGCATGATGTCCCTCTCCAAGGACCTGTCCCTCCCTACAACATGTCCAAAGTATGTCAGACGAAGCCCCAGAATCCTTGCCTCCAAAGAGCAGCCTAGTTTGTTTTCTTGGCAGTCCATGGTACATTCAATACTCTTCTCCAGCACCACAGCTCAAATGCATCAATTCTCCTTCTATCCTTCCTAGTCATTGTCCAATTTTCTGATGCATAAAAAGTGATTGCAAAGACCATAGTCTTTATCAGATGCATCTTAGTCTTCAGAGTGACACCATTGCTCTTCAGTACTTTGGAGAGGTCCCTAACAGCAGACTTTCATGGTTCAAAATCGGGAAGCATACGGCAGGGATGTCTTCTGTCTCCATACTGTGTTATTACTATTAATATAATGAGCTCTGGTCTCCTAGTGGGCGGGGCTAGATTCTAAGCTGCGGGGCGGAGACGAAGGCATGGGCGGGGCGAGAGTGTAAGGGGCAAGGTCAGGGCCCGCGGAATGGGTGGGGAGAGTCTAAGAGGCAGGCCAGCGCTGACGAAATGGGAAGGGCGGGAGTCCGAAGGGCGGGTGAAAGTCTGAGGGGCGGGGCGAGAGTCTAAGTGACAGGTGGACGTGGGCTGGACCCAAGAAGGATCGCCAGGGGGCCTGGTGACCACCCTGAGGAAGAAGGAGGCGATGGAGGTACCCGGCGTGCTGCTGGTGATGGGCGTGAGCGGCTCAGGGAAGTAGGTGTCGGGAAGCCGGGCGGCGCGGAGACCAGGCCGCTGCCACAGGGCTGTGGGGACGGGAGGCTTCGGGGCCCTGGTCCTTCCTCCTTCAGAGAAAGCCGAGGTGCCTGCTCCCTCCGTTCCTGCAAGCCGCTCAGCCCCGGGGCGCTGGACCCGGTCTGCACTCTGAGGGCCTGGTGGAGCGGCCTGAGAGCAGGTGTTCTGGGCGCCAGGTCCCAGTGCGAGAGGGAAGGGGCGGCTACGGGGCCCTAAGCGCATGCGCAGTCCATCCCCAGGCTTTTCAGACTGGTCTTTGTCAGCCTGCGCTTTCGTAATTAGATTGTACATTTCCTTTCCCTCATCAGTGCTGAGAGCTGGAAGCAGGAAAGAGTTGGAGGGTGACCCCTGAGAATCCTGGAAAAGATAAGTGAAGGCTAGTGGTGCAGTGGTTAAGTGTGTGGCTGCTAATAGAAAGGTGAGGAGTTCAAACCCCTCTGTCCAGGAGAGAGAGACACAGAGAGATGTGGAGGTCTGCTTCTGTGGGGCATAACCTGCCATCCAGTGGACAACAGAGGGACTGATTATGGTTTTACAGTGCCTTTTGCATTTTCTGTAAAGAATTGCCCACGTTAAAGTGTATTTGAAAGGCTTTTTGCTTCAGGTAGATAGACATCATTTTCCAAAATCAGTGTGGTGTCAAAAGTCAGGACATCTTGAACTGAAATAAAAATACATCATAGACCCTAGAGATCCCTAGCTGTTGTGGGATTTGAAGAAGTCGAGGAATGGGAAACTGCTACCATAATGTGATGTATGAGAGTCAAGAAATCTGACACTTGGTTCCCTGCAGCCTGGCTGTATGAAGTTTGGCAGATCCATGTGCCTTGTGTTGTAGAAGGGAAAAGCAGTAACCATTGCAGGTGCAAAAATCCAAGAACAATGGATTGTCCTGGCATGCTGTATAAGAAGGAAAAATGACAGGTAGAGTGAGGAATCAGGTTGCCCATCCTAAGATCTTTAAAAGGCTCCATTCTTCAGGAAGACTTATGTAGATTATGATAGTAAAGCTTCTGCTCACATTAAAGTGCCAAAAGGGGAATACAACATCTGCTTATAGGTTGTCTTTGACATGAGTGTATATATTTTAATGAACATTTACAGATATTTTGGATTTCCATTCATTCATTGTTGCACTTTTCTCCCCGCCTGCCCCTCCCCTCCGGTTTGTTCCTCTCTTTGAAAAGTAAAAGAAAAATTCCTTCATTGGTATACAATCCCCCCACCCTCCCTCGCCTCGAGTACACTCCACTACGCAACCTTAATTCTGGACTCTTGTGATAACCATAATACCCTATCATATATCGCTTTTAAACTGTTCTCTCCCTCATCTGTTTCCATGCAGTATACATAATTTATCCAGTTTTTCTCAGTCTTACCCCAACCCTGATGTCAGTCCCATTCTACAACAGTGGCACTATGCAGTATTTGTCTTTTTGTGACTGAGATAGTTCACTCAGCATAATGTCCTCCAGGGTCACCCACTTTGAATAATATTGCATGAGTTCCTTGTTTTTCAATGCAGCATAGTATTCCATTGTGTGAATATACCACAGCTTCTCTATCCATTCATTTGTTGATGGGCACTTATGTTCTTTCCAACTCCTTCCTATTGTGAACAAAGCCACGATAAACATGGGTGTGCATATATCTGCTTGGGTGACAGTTATGGTCTCTTTAGGGTATATTCCCAGTAGTGGAATTGCTGGGTCAAATGGTATCTCTATTTGAAACTTTTTGAGAAAGCGCCACACCACCTTCCACAGTGGTTGCACCATTTTACACTTCCACCAAGAGTGAATAAGAGTTCCAGTCTCTCCACAACCTCGCCAGCATTTGTCACTTGCTTTTCTGTTAAATTCTGATAGTCTTACTGGGGTGAGATGCTATCTCATAGTTGTTTAGATTTGCATCAACATGAGAGACTTTTGATGGGAGCAATAAAACCTTATGTTGTAGGGGAAACCTTGTGTTGCAGGTACCAGAGGAACAGACACAGGAAAGAGGGGAAATCTTAAAGGTATTACTAAGGCCAAACTGATAATTTGGTGGATTATTTTACTCCTTGTTAGTTGTTGTTGTTATGTGCTGCCAAGTCACCTGTGACTCATAGCAACCCTATGTACAACAGCTCTAAACCCTGCTCTATCCTGTGGCAATCTTATTGTCTCTGACACACTTAATCCCATTACCTCAGTCACTGAATCAATCCGTCTCATCAAGGGTCTTCCTCTCTTGATCTGCCACTCTACTCCACCCTTCCAAGCATGATGTGCCTCTCCAAGGAAATGGAAATGAAGCAAGGCTCTGCAAAGGCTGCTCCTATTAAGATGCTAACCTCTCTGTACATAGTAAAGGAGCCTTACTAGAGCATGGAGCTCTGATAGCTTAGGGGTAAAGAACTGCACTGCCAATGCACAGGTAAGCAGTTAAAATCTACCAGCTGCTGGAAAAAAAAGGGCAACCTACTATGGAGTTTACTGCATCTGAAAACCAGATGGAGGGTGAACTATAAGTTGGTTCCCACTCGATGGTATACAACAACTAGAGTTGTGTGGGAGTGAAACTAAAGAGGAAGCATGGAAATTTCTGAAAATTGACTTTTTGAATTGCTGATAGAACTTTTAGAATAAGATCAGTTTTCTATTGGGCTTGTGCAACATTAAATACTTTACTCAAAAACACTCTTTAAATCCTGTCTTTGATGAGAGATCCCTGAACCACATAATTTAGAACTTTTGATATTTAAGCATTTGGAAAATACTTCATTAATGGTGCCTATTTTAGGTCATATGTAGTATATAACAGATAAAATCTCTGCCATCAAAGACTTTACATTGTAGTATTGGGTGGCAGACAGCTGTTTCTCTAAAGGTCAGGTGGCGAGATGCTCCAGGGAAACATAAGGAGGAATGCTGGTGGTTCAGAGTTAACATGCTCAGCTACTAACCGAAACTAGGGGTGCAAGTCCACAGAGGCTCCTTGGAGGAAAGGCATGGCAATCTACTCCAAAATAACAGCCACTGAAAACGCTGACACACGTGGAGACTCTGTGAGTCAGAGTCAAGTCTACAGAAACTAGTTTGTTTTAATTAGTGGAGCACAGAGCTCTAGGCAGAATGGCCAGGGGAGGCATCTCTGAGGGAGTGGTATTTGAACAAAGATGGACAAGAAACAAGAGAAGAAAGAACTGTTTAAAAGGAGTATATGATTAGGCATTATTTGTGTGACAACAGTCCAGAATAAGAGGTGCATTGCAAAGGTGGGGGAGGGGTAGAGCAGAAAGAAGGAAATTGTGCAACAGCAAATGGATGGAAATCCAAATTTTCCATACACTTTTTTAAAAATCACAGTAACACAAATTTTAAATAAGACAAAAGAATCCCTGTGGATATCTGGGCAGAATGGCAAGTACAAGGCCCTGAAGCTTGGCTTTTTGGAGACAGAGTGATGGAAGGAGAGATGAGGTCAGAGAAATGCTGGTGAAGAAATGTGTGTATGTGTTGCCTAGATGTGTTGGGAGGACTGGATGTGAGTGTAGGAGAGGAGAAAGGAGTTGGGGATAACTTTGAGAGTTTTTGACTGGGTAACTGGAAGTGGGAACTCTGGTGGCCTACTGGCAAGAAGCTGCACTGCAATCCCAAGGCACTTAGTTCGAGGCCACCAGCTGTTCCACGGAAAAAGGATGGGCAGTCTCCTTCCATGTGATTAACTGCCTCTGAAAACCCACAGGAGGGTCAGCTATGGGCCTGTTTCAACTTGACGGTATACAACAACAACAACTGGAAGTAGGAGGCTTCCACATACTCTGATAGGGATTCAGTGGAGAGAGCAGATTTAGAAGAAAATAAGAGGTCACTGTGGGATATGGTGAGCTGATACAGTTGGTTCGGGTGCTTAGCTTCTCACTGAAAGATCAGAGGTTCAAATCTACACAGAAGCACCTTGGAAGAAAACCAGCCACTGAAAATGCTGTGGAGGCCAGTGCTCTGACACAGAACCACCATCATCTGCAGTCACCTAGATAGTAAGCTGAAGACAGCAGAGACTTTGGTAGACTGACCAGGACATCCCGGGAACTAGTAAGTGCTCATTGAATCTTGATGAGTGTGTTATGTGCCTCTAGCCTCCTTGTTTTGAAGAATTAGAAGAAAATGTAAACAATCACTTAGTTTTGGCCTAGCTCTTGGATCTGAGCCCTTTCCTACCCCAGCTGCCTGTTAGACTGTGTATAACCCTATCAGATGCTTTTGCACAGCATTAACCAGAGGGTCATTCTCAAGTCAGTGCCCCTGCCCTTTATTGTGAGAGCAGCTCTCTTAAATCTGAAACAGTATTTATGAATCTCTGAACCTCACAGAGGTACTATCATAACACTTTCCCCATTATATCCTTGGTAAAATTTTGTCACATTATTAATTCAGAAATTTTCTTTGGTAAGGAGCTGGCTGCCAACCTGAAGGCACATGGTTCTAACCCACCAGCCACTCCTTGGGAGAAAGACAGGCAGTGTTCTTTTCCCCATGTGATTTACTGCCTCTGAAAACCCACAAGAGGATTAGCTATGGGTCACTTTCAACTCCCTGATACTCGACAATAACATATTCAGAATTTTTTCTCTCAAAAGTAAATATTTAGAGAACACAGACCAAAGTAACACTAATTGAAGAAAAGCCTTCAGAGAGTTAGTATGATCTTATACATTGCTTTATAAAAAGTAAAATAGAGGTGACTTTAAAATCCTAGAAGACAGAAAAGCCACTCTCTAGAGTTCAGTGTCCAGTGTCATCGCTTCAGTATCATTGGGTCGTGGGCTTTATTGCTGTCTAGGGCAGCCATCTATTGATCCAGTGCCCCTGGACCTGAGGACCTGTGCACACATCAGGATGGGCAGTAATTTAAACCTCTGTCCTCTTCACAGATCAACCGTGGGCGCCCTGCTTGCATCTGAGGTACCTGTTCCTATGTCTCTGACATGGTCCCCATGGACCAGACCTAAGTTCTCATTGCTCCTCTCCCTCTGTCCCCTCCTTTCTTCTGGCAGGTAATTAAACAAATAAAATCCACAACCGATTGCTGCCAAGTTGATCACAGCTTGTGCCACTCCATCTGTACATAAGTGGAGCTGCTCCATCAAGTTTTCTGGGCTCCCTGAGCAGACCCTCAGGCCTTTCTCCCTCAGCACCTGTGGGTTGAAACTTCTGCCACCCAGGGACTTTACTGGCCGCAAACACCTCCACATGGCATGTGAAACCCAATGATAAAAACATTCTGCCTGTGGTGATGACAAATAGGGATGACTGAAAACAGGAGCTGTGGCAGGGTGACGGGTGGGAACTGTGGTTCTGTGCAGGGGAACCTGCCCGTCAGGGGAATGGGGTGCTCAGGAGTTCTCTCTCTGGTGTAGGGTTGCTGCCATGCAGATTGAACTGCCTGCTAGCCATTCCTTCTCCCTTTATTCTTTAAGCTTGGATGGATGTTCTATGATGCAGATGACTACCATCCTGAGGAAAACCGGATGAAGATGAGCAGAGGGATCCCACTGAATGACCAGGTAAGCTTCCATCTGTTCCATCAGACCTCCCATTGGGTAACTTGGGTGAGGCATCTGGGCCACTTGGAACAGCAGAGCTCCTGGGCATGAGCTGACCATGTGATGGTGTTCCAAGGTTCAGCCACGTACTAGGTCCTCCATGTTTGTTAGCTTCAGCCTCTGACTTCTCTCTGAACACAGCACCAGAAATGATGCCCCGGGTGTCCAGTTCAAACAAAGTCTACCAACCTTGTTGCTGAATTTCATCTGCAAGATATAATCCCCGAGTAGATAGGACAAGGAGAAGTAACTTCCTTTTCTCAGATTCCTAGTACTGCACCAGACTCTGGCATCTTCCCACAGCCAGAGGGTCTTTGCAAAGTTCAAATCTGGCTGGCCATGTGTCACCCTACATAAGGCTTTGTCCTGGCCGTAGGGTCAAGATTCAACTCTGGCCTCCATACCCTGCTTAGCCTCTGTACATACCACGTGCCCCTCCACTGGAGCCTCTTCGTCTTTGTCACTGCTGCTGCCCCCTCATAGCCACCAGTGTCATCTCTGCATAGCCTTCATCTCTCAGCTCCCTCAATGCTTATTCAGAAAGCTTGCCCATGCCCACTTACATGCAGCTTCTAAATACTCTGTTATTGTACCATATACTTTAATTCCCTTGTCCTGGTTGCAAATTTCCTAGTGTGAGAATTTGATTAATATTTGTCTCTGCAACTTGTCTTAACCCATAATTAGGTCATTTCCATTAATCATTTTATCTCTAAATATATGGCGTGCAGTAAATTTCAGAAAGTATGTGAGGCATACATGTGAGTGAAGAAATGAACACACGAGCATAAAACTACATGCACAGTGCTGAGGCCAAATCCTGGAGCACTTCTGTAACGTCACAGCCACAGAGTGCGGAATCCTTTATGTAACTGGCTGTATCTTGGGAGGGAATGTAAGGACATGGGAGAGCAGAGTCTACAGGCCTGCATACTAATATATATGTCCAAAGGGCAGGATCAGAACAGATCTGGCCAGAGAGACCAACAGATTTTGTCACTGACCTCTGTTCTTCCGAAGTGCTTCCCTCAGTATCCCGTTGCTCTGCTTTGCAGTAGTTTAGTAACCAGATCTAACACTTAAGTTCTGACTTTGTCATGTCAAAATTTAGTTTGAGACATTCAGCTTTAGAAAATAGGATGAAAAAGAAAATAGGACGAAAGAGCTATAAAGAAGATTTGTTGTTGTTGTTGTTGTTGTTGTTGTTATGTGCCATCGAGTCGCTTGCGACTCATTGCAACCCTATGTACAACAGCCCTGAACTCTGCTCTGTCCTGTGCCAATTGCATTATGTCCAATACAGCCATCCCGATTACCCCAGTCACTGAATCAATCCACCTCATAGAGGGCCTTCCCCTCAAGCATTATGTCCCTCCTTACAAGATGTCCAAAGTATGTTAGACGAAGCTTCTGAATCCTTGCCTCCAAGGAGCCGCCTAGTTTAACCCTCTCCAGGATGAATCTATTTGTTTTCCTAGCAGTCCGTGGTATCCTCAATATTCTTTTCCAGCACCACAGCTCAAAGGCATCAATTCTCCTTCTATCCTCCCTAGTCTTTGTCCAACTCTCTGATGCTTAACAAGTGATTGCTAAGACCATGGCCTGTATCAGACTCACCTTTGTCTCCAGCCAGACACCATTGCTCTTCAGAACTTTGGAAAGGTCCCTAACAGCAGACTTTCCCATTGCAATACATCTTTTCATTTCTTGGCTACTGGTTCCGAGAATGTTGACTGTGGAGTCAAGCAAATTAAACTGTGAACAATCTCAATTTCTTCACCATCCATCCTGATGCTGCCAATTGGTCCAGTGGTGAGAATCTTTGTCTTCTTGACAGTGAGCCTCAATCTATATTGAAGGCTGCACTCCTTGACCCTCTGCAGCAAGCTCTTCAGGTCCTCCTCAGTTTCAGCAAGCAGGGTTGTATCATCTGCATAATGCAGATTGTTGATAGATCTTCCACCATTCCTGACTCCACATTTCTCCTCATAGAGCCCAGCCTCCCGGATAATCTGTTCTGCATACAGGTTGAAAAGGTATGGAGACAGGACACATCCCTGGCATATGCCCTTTGCAATTTTTAACCATGCAGTGTTTTCTTGCTCCATTCTGATGACTGCCTCTTGGTCCAAGTATAGGTTGCACATTAGCATGATCAAGTGTTCTGGAATTCCCGTTGTTCTCAGAGTCAGCCACAGTTTGTTATGATCCACACAGTCAAACACCTTTGCATAATCAAAGAAACACAGATAGACATTCTTCTGGTATTCCCTGCTTTCAGCCAAGATCCATCTAACATTAGCTACAATACCCCTAGTACCATGACCACTTCTAAACCCAGCCAGGACTTTTGGCAGTTCTCTGCTGATGTGCTGTTCCAGTCATTTTTGGATAATCTTCAGTAGAATCTTGCTTGCATGTGAAATCAATGATATTGTTCTATAGTTTCCACCCTCTGTTGGGTCACCCATCTTTGGGATGGGAACAAATATAGATCTCTTCCAGTCAGTTGGCCAAGTGGTTGTTCTCCAGATTTCTTGGCACAACTTGGTGAGCATGTCCAGGGCAGCATCTGTTAGCTGAAATATGTCAATTGATATACTATCTATTCCTGGGGCCTTATTTTTTGCTATTTCCTTCAAAGCAGCCTGAACTTCTTCCTTCATCACCATAGGCTCTTGCTCATATGTTGTTTCATTAAATTCTTCTGTGTCTGCCATTCCTTTTGATACAGTGACTCAATATATTCTTTCCATCTTTTTTTTTTATTTCAGTGAACATCTACAGAGATTTTGGAATTTCATTCATTAATTGTTGCATTTTTCTCTCCCCCCACCCCCCACCCCCTTTCACTCCTCTCCTTGAAAAGCAAAAGAAAAACTCCTTCATTGGTACACAATCCTCCTTGCAGACCCTCCAACCTCACCCCACCCCAAATATAATCCACTCTGCAATCGTCATTCCGTACTCTTATGGTGCACATAATGCCCTAAAATATAATACTTTCCATCTTCTTTTAATACTTCCTGGATAATTTAATATTCTACCTAAAGCATCCTTGATTATAGCAACTCGAGGTTTGAATTTGTTCTTCAGTTCCTTAAAGAAGATATAAGCAACAATATTGGGATTGATTAGACTAGAGATAATAAACATACTAGATAACCTGGCTCCACTGCTAAGCCATGTGACCTTTGGCAAATTGCTTAACCTCTCTGCCTCATTTTCCTCCTGTGAAGTAAGGATAGTAATAGGACCTATTTCTTTGGGTTCTTGAGAGGATTAACCAAGATGACACAGAAAATTGTGTACAAAAAATTGTCTGACGAATTCTGTAAATGTGTTACTATTGCTGACAGTATATTTACATACATATATATACATAAACACACATACACATTTCTATTTACACATATGTGTAAAATGCAGCATTTATTTCTATGGTGTATATAAAGTGTGATTGTGCTAGTGTTATTTTTCTTTATCTTGGTAAGTGAAAGTAAATGCCAAGTTAAAGAATAAAGTAAAACAACTCAAACAAGAAAGTTTTTACATGTCATTTAAGCATATACTCATTCACAGGGGATGCCTGTTTTAATGGGTAGTGTGGATGGCAGGGGGAGGTGGACTTCTGAAGAAGAACTTCCTGTATGAATAGAAGGAGAAAAGGTTAGTTATGTTACTCAAATAAAACAAATGAGTTACTAAATACGTGCACAAGAAATTTTACAAGTTAGCCAGACCTCAGAAGAGAAATGGATGGATTTATAGACTTGACACCAGTAATAGAGCAGTAATAACCACAGCCAGCTAAAAGTGACAGTGTGGGTCAAACAAAGCCCCTCCTCATTGCCTAACAACCACAGCTCTCGTCCTCGTGACAGTGTCAGGAGAACAGCCACATGCGAATCAACTGGGAAGTTTCTGAGGCAGGCACAGAGTAGCTCTGCTATGGGGAAGAGGGTTGAGGGAGAGTTTTGTGCTTAGAGGACTGACGACTAAGATCTGAAAGGAAGGAATCCAACACGAATATAGGAAACTCAAGATGCCTCAAACTGACTGCTGTCTATTTGGCACCAACTCATAGCTGATTGTCCATTGGGTTTCCAAGACTGTAAATTGCAGTTAGAAGAATGCCCAACCTTCTCCTTCAGAGCTGTAGATTCAGACTTGTAGAGAATGCTTTTGGGTTCACAATGCAACTCCCTGCAGACTGTGTCACCAGAGCTCCCTGGACCACACTAAGGCCTCCTTAAATAGAAATTAATTAAAATTTAAAATCTAATTTCCCAGTCATACTAGCCACTGTCTGAGCCACTCTCCCTCTACTCATCCTCCCTTCAAGATCCCAATTCCTACATGTTTTGGGATGTTTCTGTCAGGTCATGGAAACCTTGCCCTGATTTTGTGATGTTCCAGTTTAACTCTGGAGAGAACTTTGTTGTACTTACTTCCAAGCACTGGAGGGTGGAGAGTGGAGTACACCGTCCCCCCTCATCCTGCACACAGGGCCCATCAAGTCAGGTCGCCTTGGATAATCATGAAAGTCAAACACAAAGAAGTCTTAAGAGACAGGGAGAAGAAAAATCATAGCATTTCTGCTCACTCGATTAGGTATTCAAGGCCACCTGACTTGATGGGCCAATCAAGTGAGCAGAAATGTTAATTTGGGTTATGATTTTCCTTCTCTCTGTCTCTTAAGATTTCTTTGACTTTCATGATTTATAATACTGCTCACAGTAACTGTTCAGAAGGCACAGAGCTCACTGAGTTTGCTGTAATGCTGCTGCTTGCACCAGTTTCTCTTTTTATGTAAAGGGGAGCTGTTACCACCCTTTCTTCATATATATTGCAAATGCAAACTTTAGAGTTTATCTGTGCAATCAAAACTCCCTATGGAGTCAGCTCCAACTTAGGATGATCCAACTTATGTCAGGTAGAACTCTGCTCCACAGGGTTTT